TGTATTTTAATTGGCTTATTTGGTGTTTTTGTTTGTTTTTTGCTACTGAGTTATAGAAGTTACATATTTATATATTTAACCCCTTATTAGATAAGCAGTTTGCAGATTTTTTCCTATTCAATAGATTGCCTTTTCACTCCAGTGATTGTTTCCTTTATTGTGCAGAGCTTTTTAGTTTGATGTAGCCCTTGCCTGTCTTTGTTGCATGTGCTTTTTTTTTCAGCTTTAATTGAGTTTATTGGTACATTTTAGGGATACAGTACAGTTACATTCATTACTGGGCTCTTGCACCTTTACATGACAGGTTGGTTCTCATTACATTTTATTTCCATCTTTTCATTATCTCACATTTTTTTCTTTTCCCTTATTCCCCTTTCCCTACCCATCCCGCCTTCCCTACACCTTTAGCTCCTTTCTTCCCATTTCTCAATGTCAGTAATCTTATTAGGATCCCCTGTATTATTGCAGATTATTCACACCAGAGAAACTATTCGGTATCAGAGTCATTGCCAAGACCAAAATCAAGAAGCTTTTCTATGTTTGTTGCCTTCCAGGAATTTTATAGTTTTCAGATCTTATGCTGAAGTTTTAAATCAGTTTTGATTTGATTTCCATATATGGTTTAAAATAAGAATCTAACTTTATTTTGCAAGTGATTAATTTTCTGAACATTTTGTTGATGAAACTATCATTTCCCTGTTTTCTGTTCTTGACCTACTTGTAGAAAATCAGTTTACTATACGTGCATGGATATATTTCTAGGCTCTCTATTCTGTCCAATTGATCTATGTGTCTGTTTATGCTAGTACCATACTGTTTTAATTACTCTTGTGTTATGTCTTGAGTTAAGGAAATGTAAGATCTGTCGCTTTGTTTCTTCTCAAGACTTTTTTTCTTATTTGGCTATTTGGAATCATTAATGGTTCTATATGATTCTTAAGAACTTTTCTATTTCTGCTTAAAATGACATTGAGACTGATAGAAATTGCATGGAATCTGTAGATCGTGGTATGATATATGGATACTTTTTTTTTCAATACTGGGGATCAAACTCAGGACCTTGCACTTGCAAGGCAGGCAGGGGGGCCACTGATCTAAATCTCCAGCCCCCATTATCTTGACAATATTGTCTTCCAATCCATGAACACAGGACATCTTTACATTTATTTGTGTCTTCTTTAATTTCTGTCCATAACACTTTTTGTTTGTTTGTTTGTTTTGAGACAGGGCCTCACTATGTAGTTGAGACTGACCTGGAACTCACTATGTAGCCCAGGCTGGTCTTGAATTTACAGCGATCCTCCTGCCTCAGCCTCCCGAGTGCTGGGATTACAGGCGTGCACCACCACACCCAGCTTGTCCATAACATTTTTTTTCAGTGTATCAATCTTTCATCTCCTTGGTTAAGTATATTCCCAAGTATTTTATTCTTTTTAATGGTGTTGTAAATGGGATTGTTATCTTAATTTCATCTTAATATTGCTCATTTTTAGTGTATAGTAAACATGACTGATTTTTGTGTTCATTTTGTATCCTGCAACTTTATTGAATTTGTTTATTCTCTCTTTTAAAGGGTCTTTAGTCTTTTTATGTGTATGATCATTTCTTCTGCAATAGAGGTAATTTTACTTCTTCCTCTCTGATTTGGATACATTTTATTTGTCTTGCCTAATTGCTCTGGCTATAACTTCCAGTACTATGTGGAATAGAAGTGGTGAGAGTAGGCATCCTTGCCTTGTTCTTTTTTTTTTAATTAATTTTATTGGTAATTTAATTTATACAGTATAGTGACATTCATTGTTGGAAATTTGTACCTTTACATAATCCGTCTTATTGGTTCTTATTTTTTCCCCATTCCCCTGCCCTGCCTTGTTCTTGATCTTAGGGAAAAGCTTTTTCCTTTTTACTGTTGAATTTGATGTTAGCCATGGCCTTTTTATATATGGCTTTTATTTTATTGAGGTAATTTTCCTTCTGTTACTAGTTTGTGGAGTGTATTATCATGAAATGATATTGAATTTTGTCAAATGCTTGCTGCATCTATTGAGATGATCATGTGATTTTTAAAAAATCTTTTGTTCTGTTAGTATATTATAGCACATTTTTCTATATCATACTATCCTTGCATCCCAGGAATATGGTGTATAACCCTTTTAATATGCTCACACACCATGTTCCCACTTGATCATGGTGTATGATCCTTTTAATAGGATCTTGAATCTAATAGCCTATACTGCTATTTTCTATCTATTGGTATCAGGGTAATCCTGGCCTTTTAAAGTGAATTTGGAAGTAGTCTTCTTTAATATTTTAAAGATTTTAAGAAATATTTGCATTAATTCTTTGAATATTTGATAAATTCACCAGTGAAACCATTTGATCTTGGGCTTTTCTTTTTTAGTAAGTTTTTCATTCCTGATTTATTGTCATTACTTATTACTGCCTTATTCTGTTTCATGATTCAGTCTTAAGTTATAAGTTTCTAGGAATGTATCCTTTTCTTCTGTGCAATCCAATTTGTTGATGTATTATTTTTCATAGTAGTTTTGCTTAAGCATTTTTATTTCTGTAATATTATTTGAAGTATCTTTAATTTTTTATTTTTACTTGAATCTTCTGTTTTTCTTAGTCTAGATAAAAGTCTGTCAATTTTGTTCATCTTTTCAAAAACCAAGTGTCAGCTTCATTTTTCTCTCTTTATTTCATTTATTTCTGGTATAACCTTTATTATTTCTGTCCTACTAACTTTGTTCTTTGTTTTTGTCTCCTTCTTTGAGGTATAAAATTAAGTAATTTCATATCTTTTTTCAAATGTAGATTTTCTTTGCTGTAAAATTACCTCTTAATGCTGCTTTCACTAAATCTCATAACTTTTAGTATATTGTTTTATCATTTTAATTTGTGTCAAGCTACTTCCTAATATCCCTTTTTATTTCTTTGAACTATGGGTTGTTCAAGAGCATGTTTTAATTGTTATTGTTTTTGGTTTTGCTTTTGATTTAGATAGGGTCTCACTATTTCGCCCAGACTGGTTTTGAACTCATGGCCTCAACTGATCCTCCTGTTTTAGCCTCTCAAGAAACTGAGACTGCAGGTGTTTGTGGCCGCATCTGGCTAAGTGTGTTTAATTTCCACACATTTGTAATTTTCTAGTTGTTTTTTTTTCCTGTCAATTTCTAGTTTTAGTGTGGCCAATAAAGACATTTAGTTTTATTTCAGTCTTTTTAAATTTGTTATGGCTTTTGTGACCTAACATGTGACCTACCCAGTATAATGTTTCATGTGCACTAAAGAATATGTATATTCTGGGCCGGGGATTTAGCTCAGTGGTTCCAGCACCTGCCATACAAGTACAAGACCCGAGTTTGATCCCTGGTACCAAAAAAAAAAAAACCAACCCAAAAGAATATATATATGTATATATATTTTTTTTTTCTGTTGTGGTTTTGTTGAATGTTCTATAAATGTCTATTAGGACCATTTGATCTATAGTGTTGCTCAAGTTCTCTTTTTGCTAAAGTGAGTCTCTTTTAATCAACATATACATGGATCATGTTTATTCTTTCCATTCAGCTGTCTATCTTTTAGTGAGTAATCTATTCACACTTAAAGTAATTATTGATAGGGAAGGATTTACTTATTGCCATTTGTTAACTGTTTTCTGTTTGTCTTATATATCTTTTCTCAATCTTTCCCTCTCATTTATATGCCTTTGTGGTTCATTTGTTTGTTTTTTATTTGGTTTGGTTTGGTTTTATAGCAGCATGCTTTGATTCCTTTCTCATTTCCTCTGTGTATTTTCTATAGGTATTTTATTTGTGATTACCATAGACATAACAATCTGTTTTAAACTGATAACAATTTGTTTGATCACATCAAGTACTTTTTGTTCTGTTAAAAATCTTAATAGCATCCCATTCCTAATTGATAGAATATTTTCTCTTATTTCACTGAGTATACCAGTTACAGATTTTCTCCCTTCATGAGCTCTGTTTTCTCCCATTTATTTTCTGTTCTGTTTGTTCTGTTATGTTTTTCACATATTAGGGGTTTTCCTCAGCTGCCTGAAAATTCATGTGTATGCTTATTAATAAACAAGAACTAAAAAGCTGTTTGGAAGCTCTAATAACATGAATGGCCCATGTGGACATTAAACTTCACTTTAACGTTGTCTAGTCCAGCCTTTTGTTGGAGAAATTCCCTATCCAAAGTCAGTATTTTCACATCTTTCTTCTTGGGGCTTATCAGTGTCCCCAGAAGAGACTTTTCCAAATGCTTTCTTGAGAGGGTACTGCAAACATTCTAGGAGCCTAATGGTGAAAAAGGCCCTGGAGAGCCCAGCATTTAGTATGCCTTCTTTTTCTTAGTCTCCTTGCTTTCAGAAATGGTATTCACATCTTCCAGTTTATATGACATTCCCCATCTTCTAACAATGAACCACCAGTATTGTATCAGAATCAGTGAGCATATTGTGGAGATTAAAGATCTAATTAGTTTTTAAACATCTTTCAACCTAACAACCTTATTTAAAACCCATTCCCTCACATCCATTTCCAAAGATACCTGAAGCTTTCAGTTCCTCACCTATTTAAGGATTCTTAAATAGAGATTGGGGAGGTGCTTGGCTTTCCTCACTGCTGGTTTTTTTTTTCCTCATTGAGTTTATTGGTACATTTTAGGTATACAGTACAGTTACAGCAATCATTGGGATCTTGTACCTTTATCCTCACTGCTGGTTTAATGTCCAGCTTTCTTAGTGTGCTGAGTTGTTTCTACTCATCCAATTATTTCCCAGCTTCCAAAATATTATCTTCATGTCATTCTTGGTTTGGGGCTATACTTCTTTAATCCCTGTAATTTTAGAGGGTTCTCTGGAGAGTGTAAAATTAAATAAATTTGTCTGATCCACCATCTTTATCTGAAACTAACCCATTCTAACCATAAATAAAAGAGTTTTCTTACGTTCCTTATATGTTCTCTTGATCCTCAATTTACATTAGGTGTTATACTTGAAAAACCTTAGCCCTCGGGTGACTGAAAGAGATCTTGTGTCATTATTCGCTCGGTTCCAGGCGAGGAAAGGACCTCCAATTCAGTTCCAAATGATGACTGGACGGATGAGAGGACAGGCTTTCATCACCTTTCCCAGTAAGTAGCTTCACGTAAATAATAAATTTAGTTTTAGCCTCAGTTCTCTAGAGACTACTTATGCTTCTCTGAGTTAGATTCAGCCCTTTTATTTCTCCGCAGTACATGAAAAGGGAGGTGAAATAAGGAAAGTATGTTTTTAGTGTTCCTCCTCTCCTTTTCTGTGTTTTCTCCTCTCTGTTGACAATGTATGACAAACTTACCCCAGTGTTCTTAGTTTCATCATTCTTGGCATTTCCTGCTTACCCTACCAAAATTTGTTTAACTTTGCCTGGAAATTTTATTTCTAGTCAAATTTATGATTGCATTACTCACTAATTATAATTACTTTATTCACTAATATATTGATATTCTGATCAGAATATATGAACTTGCCTTATGCCCTACTCCTTTATGACAGATTGCAAGTTAATATACTAATTCATTACTAATTTATAACTAATGAATGATGATAAATTCTAAATGTCACTTGCATGCTAATACATGGCTTCCAGTGTTATAACTGAAGTGTAGGAATAATATAGGAATCTTGATTTCTGTGATAAATCAGCCAGTATGTCTTTTTTGGCAAGAGGTTAGGTAAGATCAGTACCTTTAATTGTCCTTAAACTGTCATCATTTATAAACAGTAAGCTAATCTACGTGTAAGTGGTTTTACACCAGTACTGCCAAACTCCCCTCCATTGTTTTCCTACAGTCTTGTGTTACCTTTCATATTCCATTGAAGGTTTATAAATCCTCTGTACTAGTGGTTTTCAGTGTTTTTAAGTGTGAGCACTCCTATCCCCACATGGTGTCATCCACAAATTGAAAAGTATATTATAAAAAAGGTTTTATACACTCTTTTTAAATGTATAGCTGTTTTGCCAAACATAACAACAGCTATACTGCACATTTGAAAATTTGCACATATTTCTGAGACAAAAATTTCTTCAGTCTAATGACATTGTCTACTTACTTATGATTCCACAGACTCTTGACCATAATTCACTCCTTCCTCATTTCTTTCATTCAGGCTCTGAGATCCATAAATTGAATATTCCTGGTGACAGTATGTATTCTCATATATAACAGTTCTAAATGTGTATGAGGATTCTTAAATTTATTTATACATATAAAGATTAACTACTCTCCCATTGAAAGAAAGTAGAATCAAAGTATCCCCAATAATATGATGACTTCTTTTGTTTGTGTTGCCATTTTTAAAAAGATTTGGTTCTTCTATAATCTATATCTAAGAGGCTTGTGTATAGTTATGACTTAGATTTCTTTAGCATATAGCCTTATTTCTTTACCTGTACCTTTGAATTAGGAGACATCCTCAAACATCCATTTTGAGTTTTTATTGTCATTATTGCTACCCATTAATTTAATCTTTCTGAGTTATACAAATTGGAGATTATAGAAAAGGTGATAAAATCAAATAACAATATTACTTTGTCATTTGCATTTAACTCTGAGGCAGTACAACCTAAATTAGACTTGGAATTGAATTGAGTTGAATTATTGCGCTCTATGTAAATTTATTTATTTATTTATTTATTTATTTATTTATTTATTTATTTATTTATTTTTTAGGTAAGGAGATAGCATGGGAAGCCTTGCATCTAGCAAATGGATATAAACTACATGGGAAAATATTGGTGATAGAGTTCGGAAAAAACAGAAGTCAACGGTCAGATCTCCAGGCTGCTTCTCTCATATCTACTACAGATAGTACTGTCATGATCAGTAATAGCTAAAATGAATATACATAGTCCCAAATGATAAGTCTTGCATCAGAATCTTGGAGCTAGGATTCATGTATAAATTTGTTTGAATAACAGAAATTAACTGAGAGAGGAATAAAAGTAATTAGGACAATGGCTTTCAGCTATTGGAGACCATTAGAATGCATTTTCTACAATCAATAACTATATAGGACAGACAATATCATGAGTATTAAGGGTAATATACAAAGTGTATTATTTTCTCAAGGTAAATTACATAGGATTATTCCTGAGAATTTTGTAAAATCTTTATTATTTTCTGACATCTTCAATATTTACCCCTAGAAATAACATTCTTTTCAGGCCTGTCTCCTGTATACAAAATTTTAAAACTAAATGTTGAAATATTTATTTACTCAGGCACACTTATTCCTAATTTTATATACCCAGTAAATAAATGAGCAGGCCCCAAGGCCTAAGCCTCAACAAATGCTATTATGTCAACACTAGTAACAGGAGATAGATTCATAAAGCCAGTCAACATGTTCCACACCAACTTATCAGTCTTTAAAGTTCTATATATTTTGCCAGGGATTTAGCTCAGTGACCCTGAGCCTTCCTTGCAAGCACAAGGTCCTGATTTAGATCCCTGGTACTGAAAAACAATTATATATTTTTATAATTGAAATCTTTTAGATCAAAATATTGATTTTCACATGGCCATTTAATAAGCTAGATGCCATTGAGTAATCATTGAATTCAAAGCAATAATTGTTGGACATGTAATATATTAACTATATAAGTTTAGAAGAAGAACATGCTAGCAAGAATACCAAAGGGACATGGAAAGAGTTCTCTAGAAGAGAGATAGCCTGTCTCAAATCCCCTAGTTGTTTGTTTATGGTTGCTGAAAAAATAGAAGAACAATATGGTGCACAAGAATTGCCACAAACTTTGGAGTAAAACCTTTAATCCTCACAGCCATACTTTCCACTCTGAACTTGATAAGTCATTTAATCTGGTCCTCAGTTTTCTCATCTACAAAACGAGGATGATAATACTACTTACCTCATTAGGTTGTGAGGATTAAATGAGATATTATCCAGGGTGAAGAACAAAGAAAAGAGAATGAATAAAAATAGAGATTAAGGATTTTTGAGATACCTTTAAGCATTCAGTGTGTGATTATTGGGAGTACAGAGAAAGAAAAGAAAAAGGAGTAGAAAAACATTCCAAGAAATAGTGTCTGAGCCACGCATGGTGGCATACATCTGTTGTCTTAGCTAGCACTTGAGAAGCTGAAGCAGAAGAATTGCCACAAGTTCAAACCCAGGCTGGGCTACATAGTAAGTTCAAGACCAACCCTGAACTACATAACAAGACCCTGTCTCAGCCCAAGGAAGGAAAGAGAGAGAAGAAAGAAAATCTGAATGCTTAAAATTTGATGAGAAGCATTGTTTTACACGTTGTGGAAATTCAGCAAATCCCAAGTAGGATAAAGAAAAGTCTATGAACAGATGAATCATAATAAAAATACTGGAACCCAGAGACAGAAAATCTTGACAGCAACACAGGAAAAATGAACTGTCACTTACCAGTGAACTCCAATAAGATCAACAACTCACTTGTCATCAGAAACTTTAGTGATGACTGTGAGCTAACATTTAAAGTGCTCAAATAAAATAACTCAAACAAGAGTCCTATATACAATAAAACTATTTTTCAAAAATGAAAGTAAAATAAAACATTCCCACATAAAAGAAACTAAGAGAATTTGTTGGTAGCAGGACTCATAGGAAATAGAAAAGGAAGTTCTTCAAGTGGAAAGCAAGTGACCTCAGAAAATAATTTGAATCTATCCTCAAAAAAGGAACAGAGATAATTATAAAATTATAAAATGCAATCTAAATTCATCTTTCCTTTATTCTCTACTAATTTTTAAAAAATTGTATAGAACTGTGTGTATATAGTTGCTTTGCTTTGCCTGTAACATTTAATAGTGTAATATATTTGCCAATAATAGAAGAAAGAAGGCAGACAGAAATAATGCTGTGTTTTACTAAAGAAATTACCCTAGATGGTAGCTCAAGTCCACAGGAACAAATTAAGAAGACAAGAAAGGACAAATAAAAAGGTTAATATTTTTTTAAAGTTGTAAATACATACTTGTTCTTTTTTTCTCAGTGTCTTCGAAAGGTATAAAATTAAATAGTTACAATGAAATGTTGGGTTTATAACATGTAGAAATATTATGTGTGACTGTCATAGCACAAAATGTGAAGAAAGGAATGCGTTCACATAGGAGTAAGATTTCTGCATATCACTAGCATTTAGTATGTACCTTTAGCCAATCCAGTTGACCTAAGATGTATATGGTAAGCCTTAGAGAAAATGCAAAGGAAATAACTTTAAGATGTTAAAGAACTTTAAATATCAGATTAGAAAATATTTAACGCACAAACACCCTTCAGAGAGAAAACAAGTAAAATGGCAGTTATAAATTTACCATATCAATACTGAAAATAAATATGAATGGATTTAACTAATCAAGAGGCAATGATTGTCAAATTAAACAAAGAAAACAAGATTCAACACTATGCTGTTTGTTAAAGACATGCTTTAGAAAGTACAGGGATTGAAGATTAAAAAATGAAGAACAAATGTATCTTGAAAACAATAACCATAAGTGAAGTGGCTATATTAATATCCAACAAAATAGACTTTATTTTTAAAATATTACCAGAGGTAAAGAATCATTTTATAATTGCAAAGGGGTAAGTCTTTCAGGAAAATGTAAATTATAATCAGCACAGCCCCAAAATACATGAAGCAAAAAAACCCAAGTTGACAAATCTACAAAAACAGTTGGAATGAATATTCAATACTTCATTTCCAGTAATGGAATAAATGGGCACATGATAAGCAAGGAAGTAGAAGAGATGAGCAACACTCCAATCCAAATAGATATAAAAGACATCTATTGAACATTCCACCCAACAACATTAGAATACATATTCTCAAGTGCACATAAAACATCTCTAGGATAGATCATAAGCTAAGTTACAAACAAGTTTTTGTAAGTATAAATGGACTGAAATCATATAAGGTATGTTCTCTGACCACATAGAATGAAGTTAAAATCAGTCATAGAAAATTGAGAGACTCATAACTATGTAGAAATTAGGCACACTTTTAAATGACCAATAAGTCAAAGAAATCATAAGGGAAATTAAAAAGTCCTTTCAGATAAATGAAAATGAAGACAGCATACCAAAACTAATGGGATGCAGCTAAAGCAATGTTTACTGGGAAATTTACAGATAAAAGCCTACCCAAAGAAAGGCGATCTGGTGAGGGTGATAACGGAGTAAAATGAATCAAGATGTGACATATTTATATGTATGTATCAGATCTCAAAACAATATAATTATTATGTATCACAAACATACTAATAAAAAAATAAAGAGTACAAAATAATAACCTCCCTTTGCACCTTAACACCTTGCTCTAAATCTAGAACAACGAAAAGGATGGAAATACAAAAAATTAGATGAAAAATAAGTAGCTTAAAAAATCATTCAGTGAAACATGTCAAAGTTGGTTTTATAAAAAACTACAGAAGGGAGGGCAGGAGTATGGGGAATAAATAAAAGCCAAGGTACATCATGTAAAGGTACAAGATCCCAAAGATGAATGTAACTGTTCTGTACATCTAAAAAGTACCAATAAACGTAATGAAAAACAAACAAACAAAAACAACCTACAAAACTGTCAATCCTTCTGGTAGAGTTACCAGGAAAAAAAGGAGACTCAATTTATTAGAATCAGAAATGAAGTGGCAGGAAATTCAGCTCAGTGGTTCCGCTTCCTGCTTCGCAAGCATAAGGTCCCAAGTTCGATCCCTGGTACCAAAAATGAAAAAGGGGAACTATCACTACTGATCTTGTAGAAATGAGAAGGATTAGGAAGAAATAATAAGAACAGTTGTATGTCCATAAATTAACCCAGATAAAATGCACAAATTTCCATAAAGACAAATTACCACAACTAAAAAAAAAAATCTGAATAGACCTAATAACAAATACATTAAATGAACACTACCCACAATGAAAATCTCAGGCTCAAATGGCACTTTAATCAAACATTTAAAGAAAATTAACACAATTTCTTCAAAAACTCTTCCAAAAGTTGAGCAAGAGATCACTTTAGCACAAACTCACATGGAAGAACCCTGAGTGTTCAGTGAAAAAAGCCAATGACATATAACTACATATAATGTGATCCTGTTTACATGAAGTGTCCAGAATTGGCAAATATATAGGATGGAGGCTTCATGGTTTCTTAGGTTGGAGTGGGAAGCCATGGAATGGAAAGGACTGAGGGTAAGAGCTAAGTATATGGGGTTTTTTAGAAGTTGGTGAAAATGTTCTAAATGTTTTTGTGTTGATTGTGCAACATTATAAATATACTAAGAACCCATGAATTATACAATTTAAGTGAGTTGTAAGATATATAGATTGTACCTCAATATTATTGTCACAAAAATAGAAAGTTGGGTATTAACCTTTTGCTCAGTCATAAATAACTTTTGGTTCATCCACTTAGTGAAAAACTATGCAGCCATTACATAGTGGCATGTATCTATGAATATATTCTGACCTGTACTCATATGCAAGATTTTGTATTAATTTAAAAATTAGGATTATTTGGTATTAAATATATGTGTGTATATATGCGTATATTGAATATCTCTATATAGAAATTTCAAAATGTAGGACAAATATGAGAAATACATATACCAAATTGTAAACTTTCTGAAGGTAGAATTGGATAGACTGAAAAAACTTTCACTTTATAAAATTAAGATGGTGTGATTCAGAGTGTTTTTACTTTTTTTCAGTGTTTTTTTAAATTAAAAAAATGTAAATATTCTTACAATGACTCAGCTTCCAAAATACTTTTCAGACCCACTTTGAGAATACCTTCTGATTATACTCAGGACAAACTCCTATTTCTATGATATACTACTCAGTTAAGTTTAACTACCCAGCTTTAAATATAGTTTAAGGGATAAGTAAATTGTCCCAGTATAGCCTTTTGCACATGTTACCTAAGAGCATACATCTCAGCTGGACTTTCCAGAAGAAACTGTCTCCTGTTAGGTGAGAAATCTTACCTCTACCTTTTACTAGACCTACAGACCACTAAAAGTAGAGGGAAATACTATGGAGAATACTTTTCCAACTGGTGCATAGATACACAAACTGGTATATCCAGACAGTAAAATTCTATTCAGCAATAAAAATGATTGAACCATACATGCATCAACTTGCATGAATCTTAAATGCATTTTGCTAAATAGGAGAGTCCAGACTTAAAAGGCTACTTACTGTTTCATTTGTATATTTGCTGGAAAATCAAAACAATAAGGATGGAGGAAAGATATCACCAAATATCAGGGTTTAAAGCTGGCATGCTACTTGACAACAAAATGGTAGCACAAAGGATTCTTTTAGTAATGGAAATTTTCTGTATGTTGGTTATAATTACCTAAATGTGTACGTTTGTCAAAACTCAGAATTATACACCAAAAGGATGACTGTATGTAAATGTTTAAATAAATGTATTTTTAATGAAGGAAAGAAAAATTTTGAGTCATTTAATTAACTAGTAAACGTATCTTGTGGTCTTTGATACTGTTGAAAAGTTAAAGTCATTTTGCTGCTATTCTCTATTTTCTTCCCAAGGGTAAGCAAAAATTATTAGTTTAAAAATCCATGCAACATACACACACAAACCCACCATAAAAAAGAAAAACTGGAAATACATTTATCTCATTATCACAAGAAACTAATTTCGTTAATATTCAATGTGTATTTTTTTAGTGTAATTGTCACCCTTTATCTGTGGGGGTATATTCCAAAACCCATAGTGGGTGCTTGAAACTATGAATAGTACCAAACACTGTATGTACTGTTTTTTCCTGCATGCCCAATAATGCTGCCACATAATACTAGAGTTAATCTGTCCTGTATTTAATATCTTGTGTCTCCACATCAATACTTTTGCACTTTGGGGCTATAATTAAGTAAAATAAGGATTACTTGAACACAAGCATTGTGGTACTGTTGTGATGGTATGGGGTCTTTGGGAGATAGGTCATGAAGGTAGAGTGCTAATTAATGGGTTTAGTGCCCTGATAAAGTAGACCTCAGAGAGCTCTCACTATACATTTTCTGTATGAGGATACAGGGAGAATTCAGCAATCTGCAACTTATAAAACAACCTTCACCATATCCCGACCATGAGGGTACTCTGTTCTTAGTT